ACCCAACATGTAGGGGACAGCAGCCAAAATATGGTAGGAGGGGAAAGGCCAGAGCCCAGAGGGGAGGAGAGCCCAGCAGGTCCACTGTGTGAACCCCTCGGCCCTGTGCCCCAGGGACAGAGGGTCCCCAGGGCAGGCAGGAGGTCCCACTGGGGGTGGGACACCAGCAAGTGGGGTCCACTCTGGGGAAGCTGTCACCCCCTCCTGAGGCCTCTGGGGTCTGCAATCCTATTTCTAGCCCTGGTTCCACAAGGCGTCTCCTGGGCATGAGCCCAGCCGCTGCACCCTGGTGGCCATCCAGTTATTCCCGGGTGGGCCCATCTGGTGCTGGTGTTCCCCATTATGGAGGGTTCATCTTGGTGCACCCACAGCGGTTGGGCCCGCTCTGGTGATTTCTTTGTCCTTGTGTTTCCTCCTGACCAGTGGTGTCATGCCTCTGTGTGTGTCCACAGCATTGGGATTATCTGTGAGGAGTGGCCACGGGCCACACTGCATCTGCAGTATATTTCTGATGTTCTTTCACTTAGAGTAAATTATTTTCTGCTTCAGATAAAATTCCCTTTTTATTTTTTAAGATTTATTTATTTATGCATAAATGAACTGGGGTACAAGCCAGAGGTGCTGGGGTGGTGAGAGGATTCACCAGAGACAGAGTGGAGAGCAAACAGGCAGATCGGTGAAGTACAGTGCTGGGGGGAGCAGCAGGCGGGTCAGGAGAGGTCAGCCATGCCCTGTGGTCGCCTCCGGGGCCGGGATGGAACTTGTAGAGAAGCGGCTGCTGCTGCTTTACAGTGCTGCATCCGACCCGCTGCGCCACCAGGGTGGGCCCTAAAATTCCAGTTTTAAATAGGGGACTCTAGTGTTCGTTGGCTTTCTCAGGGCTCTTTGAGATGGTTCTGGCTACCCCAGATGTTTTGTCTTTCCTCACTTCGTCATTTGAGTCTTGGCGCCATAATCATTGACGATGTTCTGACCCCGTAGGCTTGGCCAGCCGCCCACAAGTCAGCCCACGGCTGCCCCTCAAGTGTGTCCATGTATCATTTCGCTGCCACATCTTCTCGGCGACGGGATCTCTGAGGCTTCACCGGGATTGGGGCTCCAGGGTGAGCCAGAAAACAGCAGGTGCCGTCTGGCAGGACCCTGAGGATGGACGTCCACGTGGGGCAGGTGGGTCGGGAGACAGGACTTCCACTCTATCCTGTCCTGTTCTTTCTGTGGTTTGTTTGTCGGTGAAGGCGATGAGCTCGGCAGAGGAAGCATCTTTCCGTGATTTCCAATTTTATTTTGTGAAACATTACGGCGCCACTCATCCTTCTGCCCGTTTCTCTCCACAGGTTGCCCGACTTTCAGATGCTTGTATTGGACAGCTGGAAGCGCCTGGAGTTTGAATTCGTGTTTGATGGATTTTCACTTTTTTTTTTTTAAATCAAAACCATGTAAGGCTTCTGGGTTAAGCAGAATATATTTATAATTTTATAAATTATGTCAAATGGCAGACGAGCAGGAGCCTCTGTTCCGGCCAGAAACCCAAACCCCCTCACTGATCCATCTGGAGCCCCCTCACCCACCTGCTGCCCAGCGTTGGGTCCCCCTGGGCCTTTAGTCCTGGAGAGATAATGAAAGGGCCGCGAGGGCTGTGCCCCCACTGGGAGCCTCGCAGTGAGGCTGGGGCGACCCCTGAGCCAGGGTCTGTGGCACCCTCCGTGCGACTTCAGACCCTTGGAAAGGGCGCCCCAGTGGTTGGGCCTCAAGAGTGTGGCGAGTGGCCAGTCCCAGTGGGAGCACTCGGACCTGCCAGGCTTCACGACGAGAACAAGGCCCGGCTCGACCGGAGGGTGACCATGAGCAGAGGGAAGGCCCCGCTGCAGGGACCCTGCCCCTCCCCGCCCCGGGTGACCATGAGCAGAGGGAAGGCCCCGCTGCAGGGACCCTGCCCCTCCCCGCCCCG